TATTTATTATGTTTATTTTTTACAAATTATTTGAAAAACTTCTAATTCATCAAATTTGCTACCATGTACTATATTGATGTTACTATAAGCTCTATTTGGGTAACTAGAAATAGTACCATTACCATTAAAATAAAAATCACCACCATTACCAAAAACTGATAAATTATAAGAATTACAATAAATTGCATGCTCATAATCATTATTAATAACATAACTGAATTGTGCAGTATTGATATTATTTCTATTACTAATATTAAAAATGAAACTTTCAGTTGTATTTTTATATGCTCTATTTCCATTCCAATTTAGTGGATTATAACCACCAACTATTTGCTCTGAGTTTTGTATTTTACCAACTGAAAGAGTTTTGTTAACATTATCACAATTTTGATGGAATGTAGCTACATCTAAACCATCTCTGCTACTACGATATAGAAGTTTGAATTCATATTTGACTTCTTTGAATGAAGTGTATGGTGGACTTTTTCTATCAATCCAGCTTGCAAAAAGCAAAGTAAGGTTTTGATTGATTGTCAATGGTTCAAGTGTTGAGTACAAATTTGAAACTCTTGATGGTAATAAATTCAATGTTTGTTGTCTGTCTGGAAATAAATAATAATGTGAAATATCCTTCCATAAAGTCCTAGGAAAAAGTATAACATATGGTTCAATTTTATTAAAAAAATCATCTTTAGAAATATCCTGAAATCTTATTAGAGAAAAAAATTCTTTTAATGTGTTGCCTAAATCACCAAAATTTTGTAAGGACCAATCTTCAACATTGATATTATTGATTTCAGGATGCTTTGCCAATCCCCATTTAAGCATGCTTTCCCAAATAATTATCTCATCAACAGAAAAGTCATCTCTTTTGAGAATTTCCAATAGAATTGGTTTTTCCAATGATATAAATTCACTTGATTTAAATAATTTTTCACTATATTCACAAAACTTTTCCAAATAAATATTTTTCAATTCATTAAAATTTTCATTATAATAAATCAATTGTAGAATTTTAACTGGATTTTTTTTTATATAATCTTCATGATTTTCAATAAAATGTTTCATTGTATATTCATAAAGTGACTCAATACCAAATTCATCTGCTGCAGTTAATAGTTCCAATACTTCAGCACCAGAATAATTTTCTAATTCAATTTTACATGTATATAAAAATCTTACAAAATAAATAAATTATTAACAGGTTATTTATTATTGTTATATATTCAATATAATAAATAATAAATTAAAATTTATTTACTTGAAAATAAGTTTGAAAATTTTTTCACTGATATTAATTTTCTTAATGATATAATATCCATTTTCTTTCATTACATCACTTAATGCATTGTTAAAAAATGAACAATGAGCAGATATGATAGATGCATGTGCATGAACTTCTTTAATGTCTGGCTCTACACCAACATATATTTTTACATCATAAAAATTTTCAGTATTCAACAACCTCTCATTTTCATTGAAATATTTTTCAAATGTTGAGTTCATTTTTAAATTTTTTTTTTCAAAAAGAAATGAATAGCCAATCATATGTTAATAAAAATTCACCCCATATTGTAAATGGATGAACAATATAATTTTACATGTGTATGTTGTATGTGAAATTGAAATATTAAGCAAGATTTTAGCAGTGAGCCTTTTTATGAAATTTTTTGTAATATACAAAAAAAAAAATTTTAAACCTGAGATTCTCATATATTGTTTTTGCTATTTTTAAATTTGACCAAGACCTGGTTTACACTTTTTATACTATAATTATTCTGTTTAATTTTAGAGTAATAATTTCCTTACCTATACTCAATGGTGTACTACTTGAAATTTTTTGTCATTAATTCCCATACCAAAAGCATTATAGTTGCAATCATGATCTGATTGTGTCATCTCCACATTATTGTAAACTTCCTAATGATATGTAAGGTATTACTTTGAATTTCTAGATAGGGTTGTTGATGGTCTGGTTGGGTCAGAGACTGCTCAGCCTAATCAAAGAACTAGTCCATTGGACCAGTCCAAGACTGCAGTCCAGACTATAGATGAAATTTTACTATAATACTAATCTTGTGCTTGGTTCAATGGCTTTATCCTACAATCTTACATGATCCATTAGTTGTTGGTTTATCTTAACTATTTTTATCTTGCAATCTTACATGATCCATTAATTATTTTATCCTACATTCTTACATGATCCATGTGTGGTTATCTTTCTTAGATATATTTATGATGTTTTAATAATTAATTGTTGGTTACAATCAACAATTGGCTTTGATACATGTTTAAAATTTGTGAAATTGAAAACCAATAAAATTCATAGATTTATTTCACAATTATAATATAAGGCTGTGTAAATTTTTTTTTCTTCTCAGAGACTACATATTAATTTTCATTATTTTTAAATAAAAATGCATAAAATTCAAACCCTCTTAACTTTTGAAGGAAACAATTTATAAGTTTTTAAATTAAAGACACACATTATTGAGTCATCATCAAATGGAGATATGATGCCCTTTTTTTATTAGTTAATATGAAAATAAAAAAAAAACTCTCCATATTTTCATTTGATGATGACTCAATAATGTGTGTCTTTAATTTAAAAACTTATAAATTGTTTCCTTCAAAATTTAAGAGGGTTTGAATTTTGTGTTTCACTATAGTGATGATCATGCAACTTCAAACCACTAAGATTCTCCATTTTTGCAATCTTTAGAACCTGAGCAACAATAAATAGTGAGTTTTTTTTAAAGTTGCACATTTGATGCACTGGATCCACTGTGACACGTACTGTAGATTATGTCGATCATTTTATTTTTTTATTTTTTTACGACATCGGATGATAATTTATTTATTACTATATTATTAAAATAATAATTTTTTTAAATTCCCAAAATGCATCAATTATTATTTAAAAAAGAATTAGTAATTCGTCCACTACTACAAAGACCTTTAATAGCAGCCTTCTCACCAATCTCTTCGTCACAATCACGTTATTATACTGGTAAAACTGAAGGAAACATTCGTGCTGGTAAGACCGTTTTTTCAACGAAAGAAAAGGCTATTGAAGATCAATGGATTAAAACTCATGTATGTGTTTGTGAATAACCAAGGAAATTAATAACGATTATTAATGATCTAATATTAATCTGAATTTTTATAGGACGCTGAAAAAATAAAACATCTATACGAAGAACTTATGAAACAAAAGAAAAAAATTGATGAACTTGAAGGACATATTGACGAAATTAAAAGTAAAAAAGAATAGTTAATTATTATTTTTACATGCTGTAAAAGAATAAATTCAATCCAATTTATAATTAAGCTTTTAATATAACAAATAAAGAACCTTATTCTTTATATCATAATATTTTTAATAATTGATTATAAAATATATTTTGATTTTATTACTGGCATTGATAATAATTTTGATAAACTTTAATAAATGCTGAATTATACAAAAAAAAAAAACAATTTCAAATAAAATGTTTTTAATCTAAATAAATAAATAAAAATTAATTAATTAATTAATACCACTAATACTACTACTAATAATGTATAATTATGATTTTTTTTTTAATATTGTTTTTTTTATTTCCTTTTACTTTTTTCATTTATCACTGCTACATCTTCCTCAGACGTTTCTCCTTCTTCCTCCTCTTCACCTTCATCATCATCATCATCATCATCATCATCATCATTATCATCATCGTCGTCGTTGTCGTCATCGTCGTCGTCGTCATCGTCATCGTCATCACTATCCTCCTCCTCCTCCTCATCTTCTCCCTCATCTTCTTCCTCATCATCATCATCATCTTCTTCTTCATCGCTTTCTGAAGTTTCATCTCCAATAGAATAATATTGCAGATCTATATAATGCAGATAAATTATTAAAAATTAGTAATTTAATAATATAATAAATCTAATTTATATATTTATGTGCGTGAATGTGGGAATAATAATTAATACCTGATTTTTCTTCAGAAGTTTCTTTATCTGATTCATAAAATCTTTCAAGATCATAAACATCTTTACGTTTACTAGTATATTTTTTGTCATAAGCGGAGAACGATGATGATGATGGTGGTGGATAATGAGCATAACCTCCAAATGAATCACTCCCAAATCCTTTTATCACTTGACTTTTATCCCAGTATTCATCCTAATAATAATAATTTATAAATTAATCAAGATCCTAGTAATATTATGAAATATATTATCGTATTAATAAACTAACCGCCGTGTTACGTAAAGATCCATCGGGTTTTTCAGTTGGCCAATCAGGAATTGGTTCATAGCCAGGTATAGTACGATTAAGTACAAGAGCCATTGAACCAATAGTAAAACGATCACGTCCTAAAAATTAAAATGTTTTATTTTTTAAATAATAATTTGTTTATACTATATATAATATAAATTTAATAATTAATTTACCAGCTGATGCACTTTCTTCAGAAGGAGCTTCCTTTTCACACAAAAGTATTGTTTTCAATTTATCCTTTAGTATACGGCTTTTATTTGGTTCATAGGAAGAAATTTGTAAATCATCTTGTTGCTGTTGTGCACCACTAACATTATTGCTGCTGCTACTGCCATCACCATCACCACCACTACCATCATTGTTTTCATTATTATTATTATTATTATTATTATTGTTCGTTATTATCAAACCTCTTAAAAGTCTTGCTCGATCTCTAATATCATAGTTAAGATCATATCTTGCAAGATTCAAAATATATTGGAATAACAGATTAAGTGTTTGGTGATGTTGATTTGTTGGATAAAGTGAAATAAGTTTGGCACCAAGATTGATTATTTGTAATTTAGCAATATCTGCTTCGTTGGTGAAAGATTTTGCTGCTTTTCTTAACACATCAGGTGCTATTTTTTTTAAATTTTCTGCATATTGACCAACAAGCCAAAATATGCTGGCTCTAGCCATTGGTACAGTAATTTGATCTAAAGCCTTAGCTAGTTGTATAATCAAATCTGAATTATCTTGAGGTCTCAATTGTAAAAGTCTTTTGATCACCACAACTGATTCTGCCACAACAGCATCTACAATATGAGTACAATATGTGTATGTTAATTAATAAATTATGGGTCATATTTCTTTCCTGTAAAGAATTTTATGGGATATTAATGATAATAATTTATAAAAATGAAAACTAACCCACCATTCTTGCTCCACAATAATTTCATTAGGCCATTAAGGCAACTTTCGGCCATTTCAGGCATTCCTATTGCACAACGTCCAATTGCTTGAATTGCTGAGGTTGCAAAATCTTTATTTGGACTTTTCACGTATTCCTAAAATTAATTATAAAATATTTGATGTTGTGAATATTTATTCGATGTAAAGAATAATTTTTTGGCATTTATTTTTATTTTTTTTATTTAATCTTAAATTAATTGATTGACTTTACTTGTAATTCTCTTAGTAAAAGTGTAATATTAGTTTCAGTTGCGATTAAGGTCATTATTTCCAATTTAAGATTACGAATAAATGATGGATCTGTTGATCTAACAAAAAATTGCTGAAGATGCTGTTCAAAAAGATACTATATGTATGTAATAAATAAATTAGAACAAAAATTTAGTAAATTCAAAAATTGTTAGAATTTAATTATTTATTTTATAAAAAATAAATAATTATTTACCGGTCTTTGAGTTGCCATAGTAGCAATATTTGCCAATACAACATGTTGAATTTCGCGATGACTACGTAAAAGTCTTACTAAAGGTTTGCCTATTTTGTATGCTTCTTCGATTGGTGCCAAATGATATAAAACTTTTACTACTGACATTACTACCTAAACTTACAAATTAATTAATCAATTAATTATACATATCACAAATATTTGTTATACAGAAAATGATTATGTAATAGTAATCTTACTGCACTATTTCTACTTTGAAGAAGCGGCAAGCAAGACCTTAATATTAATTCATGATCTGGATCAAGAATCAATGTATTTTCAAATGATTCTTCGGAATTTTCAGAATCTTCTTCGTCCGAATAAAAATTTTTGGACTTTTTCTTAACTGAAGATTTTATTCCCTGAATATTAAAAATTGTCACAATAATTAATTATTGAATTATAGATTTTAAACCAAATATACATACATACATACATACATATATATATATATATATATATATAATTACTAACGTTTGGATTTGGATTTAAAAATTGTGTCCTTCCATATCTTAATAATAATCCCATGATAGCAATTTGGCCCCATTCATCTGCATCAATTAACATTCGACATAATTTTCGAAAATGTGGATGTATCAGATCAAATCTATCAGGACAGACTTCATCAAAAGCTATTATAACACTTCCTAATGTAAACGCTGAATTATCATTTAAAAGAGTTGTTATGATTTCAACTAAAGCATCTTTTTGTGTAGGATCTAAACTAAACAATAATAATATAAATAAGTAAATAAATATTAATAATAAATAAAAATCAATACATTGTAAATAAATACCTGTAGCATTTAGGAATCGCATGAGCAGCAGCTTTTCTAACATAAGGTGATAAATCATTTACACATTTTTTGATGGCCAATAATACTATTGGACTTATCACTGGTACTCTAATACCAGACATTACTCTTAATGCCATTGCTCTTATCAATAAATTTTGATCTGTTAAATCTTTTTGAAAAGTATTGATTGACAACAATGCAAGATCAGGCTCTTGTTCAGCATAACGAAGCAAATATATATAAACTAATTTTCTAATTTCAAGATTTTGAGATGCAACATTCTTTACAACATCAGGAAAGAATTCCGACAGGTCGCGCCCTTTCGATATTAACTAATTAATCAATTAATAGCAGATTAATATTAGCGTAACTAATGCCAGTTGATTAATTAATTGGTAACATTATTAATGATATTTACTTACTGCAATCAACCTTTTCAATCCATCCATTTTTTCACGATCGTGTCTTGAATCTAATAAACGTCTAATATCTCGCATTTTCTCTTCAGAGGTCTCAAAATAATGATTAGAAGAAGTAGCCTCCAAACCAAACTCACGTGCATTCTCTACAAGTCCTTCCGATACTTTTTTTGATAATTTAGCTGCATTTTGAGCGATTGCTGCAGCTTTAGAAAAATAATAATCAGTCATTAATTTTATATAATTTTTTTTTTAACGTAAATAAAGAATCAAAAGTCGCACACGGACGGTTCCTTGTAGGTTTCAATATTTTGTGCAACAATTTTAATTTTCTATACCCATTTAAAGTAGGGATGTTAATCAGTCCTTTTAGGACCAGTATTTTTCAGCCCTCTTTTTTTATATATTAAATTTCGCATTCCCGCAACCTAATTAGTCAATCAAATTGATTTTAGGAATAATAAATATACGTAACTTGGATTTCCTTTGTTCGATAATTAATAATTAATAATAAAAGAATAATTATAATAATGCGTGAATAGTTGTAATCCAAAATTCCTAACGTTGATCTGATTTTAAAGTGACTTTACAGATCAATATCCCAGTCGCAATAAATAGCCAACTCTTCTTTTCATCAACTAATTCATTCGTATTGCTTTCGTTGATTTATTCAGAAATGTTTTTCTATCAATTGTCCAATATGGAGTCGACATTATAATAAATAATTTATTTTTGATCTAGACACAACTTATTAACATATTGCTTGCCAATGAATTAGCGAATTAGATGGTATGTTGAATTTTTCAATACCCTACATCATGTGCGCTAATTTTGTTTGATCCCCAAAATCCAGTACGGTATGATCATAACATTATGAATACTTTATACTAGCAAAAACCCATTGTTTTTGAGGTGAGGCCATTGGTTTGACGGGCTGTTGAATAGTAAAATAGTTTTTTTGGCGGAGCAAATAAATTCTTTTAGGGTTAATTATCATTTTACTGACCAGTTTACACATTAAAAATACTCGTGTTTAACATAGAGACACACAATAAGACATAAGGTTTGAAAAAAGGCCCGAAAAACCAAATCGGCTGATATGTTAACTTAGTGCCCAAATATTTAATGCCAAAAAAATTTAACACTAAACTAACTATCATAAATAATAAATTTAGTATATTTATATTTATTATTATTATTCAATGATTTTATTACGATGTTAACATTGATGCTTTATTATTCCTTTGACAAGGTTGAACCTCTTACTACTGTGGTCAAATGTTTGGTTTATATCCATTGCACTATATGACTTTTTTTCTCTAGAGGATATTAATTACCAAATAATAATAATAATAAGTAATTTATCCATTGATTTATTATTAAATAATGATGATTTAATGGCCACTTTAATATTAAACTTTTTTGATTAATTAATAATAACTCGGCATCATAATAAAAGATAATAAAAATATTTATCGTTAAATCAATGCAAATTTATTCTATTTTCTTAGATGTTGGAATCGGTCAAAAAAACTTTAGTCGATTACCAGTTGGCCAGAAATTCCTATAGTCGACCAAATTGGGCTTGGACAATAAAAAAGTGTTGAAATAAAAGCAAGTTTGAGTTAAAACAACACATATACATAATTTCTTGTGCAGGAAATTTTTGGCTTAGCATACCCACTTTGCGTAAAAATACACTGTATATAATATACACGTGATAATATAATTATATTTTATTAAATATAAGTAGATTCCTATATATTTCTATAAGCCCTATGCAAAGTTTGCACACTTAAAACATACTTATCATACCATTAAAACACACTTAATTTAAGTAGAAATTATTTGGTGTTTTGGGCATTCTCGTTTCTTGCAAATTTAAGTAGAAAATAAGCATGATTTTCTACTATTTATTTCATACTTGAACTATATACTTAAATTACGCTTAAACTATACTTATACTTGATTTATACTTGACATTTTATTTATTTTTTTAAATACAGATAAATTTTATAAATAGCAATAATGATGATGATAATTATAATAAAGTAATAACTAATTTTTTTTCTTTAATTGTTGTGTGAAAATAACCCATTGTTTAACTATGAAACCATTTTGGAAGAAATATTAATTACAATGTTATATATATAATAATTATTATTAACAATTATTAATAAAGGCGTGAAAAAAAATTCTGATTTTGGAATAAAACATAATAACTATGGAAAAAAAATATGCAAATTGCATATTGTAAAGGCTCGTCTCTGAACTTTTGGTAAACTGAATTTTTGGGGAAGGATGAGAGCAAAATTGAAATACGAAACATTTTGGTGAGCAAATCTTTTTTTTTGAAAAAATGTAAAATGTTAAAAAACCACGATACATTTGTTTACATGTTTGTTCTTTCTACTTATTGTTATTAATTAAAATTGTGTGGTGATGATTTCTTTCTCCCTAGATTATTTGTTAAAAAAAAATAGCGCGAGTTGTAATTTCTGCGATTCTGAAAATTATTTTTATCGTGTCACGCGTTACGAAAACCGGTTTACGTCGTGTGATTGTGCAAAAAGAAGACCGGGAAAACTCTATTGTATGTGACCGCCAAATTAAATGACAATGCGAATCTTAGTTTTTTATAATCATGCGAATCGATTTTCCGAACATTTTAATTAAAAATTATTAATATTGCGAATAGAAATAGCCGAGGACGTATGAAATTTATCTTTATTGATTATTAAAAATATTTAAAAGAAAGTTTTGTGTACTTGACTGACTAAAATGATCATAAATTAAAAATGTTTCATCATCTACTTCAATCTAACAAGGATTAATATCTAATATTAGAATAAGAACATATTCCAAAAAATAAACTACTTCTCGTGGTGTAATATGAATCGTAATGTCTCTTGCAAATTCTTGAAAGTTAGGGTATGTAATAAAACGTTTTTGGCGTGAATCATAAGGAATTTTTTTATTATTTTTATTATGACTTTTCATTTTTAAATTTTTAAATTTTATTAATAATGCAAATCAACTCTAACCGACAAATTTTTTTTCTTCGAATTATATATAAAAGCGGCGACCTTTTCCATCCTATCAATGCGAATCAAGCATAGTGGGCTTAAATTTGATTGGTTGACGCTTAATGAAATTGATTATTACGCCGATCATTACTATTAATCAATTTTTTAATGTTATCCTCAAGAATAAAACCATCTTTTTCAAAATTTCAAGACAATCAAATGACTTTATTGGCAGTATTTATATGCATAATTTATCAAAATCTAGATTGAAAACTTCTATTGCCATCATAATGAATGACAAACTTGAAAAAAAGTATATTCCCATGTTGAATTGAATATTTTTATTCATAAAAAAATATTTATAGATCTTGAAAGCTTGCATTGAACCTTGCATCTTGTCATTACTTAAGTGACATAAATTACACTATTAATCCTTTTTGCATAATGAAAGAATTTCAAATATTATATCGTTAATATATTAATGGTGTTTTATATATTTAGGATTATGTATGTTCTACCTAATGAACAACTCGAATGAGTCAAAAAATGAAAAATGGACAATTTATTGTTATTATTTTATTTTTGTGTAAATTTAATAAAGGATTCAAGTAATTCAATTAATTATAAAATTATTCCTTTAACTGCACTTTTTTTCTTGTTCATAATCGTTATTATCGAATCTGAAGAATGAATGATACCAGAAATTTTATTGGCCTTGCAGATCCTCAGATTTTTAATATGCAGATCTTAAATTTTAATCTAGATCACAGAATCCAATTTTTTTAATAATGACCATTATAGACTTTTGATTTATACTATATTTGCCAAATTGCATAATAATTATGGTTTACCTAATGGTATGAGAATTGTAAGGAATGTAAAAATCATATGCAGGTTTCTTGAAGTTGTTGTGCAGTTCAATTTTTATCATTGGAAACTGATTTCTTGTCACAAAAATCACAATTAGAAGAATAGTAGAAAATACAGGACATAAAATGGAATATCACTATGAATTAAAAGTTCGCCAGAAAGAACTGTAATTATTCATTTTAAAGAATTACAGGTAACAGTATCACTTTGTAAATTAATTAATTGACAAGCACTAAATTAACCAACAAGAGTAGCCCAAAAGTTAAGCATATGTGCTAAATAATCATAACAACCAAAAGACCACCTTGCAATATCACCATCATTTAACAAAGAATTAAAAAAAACTGTAAAGTTTATTATAATAGGTGCAACATAAGACATAATTCCATAGATTTTATCAACTGGTTCACATAATCATAATCATGTAATATAACAATTACCTCCTTGCAATAATATATTACCACTATGTAAAATCACTATGGATTAAATCTTTTTCATGTAATGCATTACGTAAATAATGAAGGGTCTAAATCATTATTTGTAAATAATTTGTATAGAATTATTTTTTAAACAATAATAAAATTACTAGATAATCTCATCTATCCGAATGTTTCTAAACATAAATGGCAATAATAATGTAAATCGTTACGTTAATAGGATTTGTTTGTGTGTATAAACATTCCAGAAAATACTATTTATTTTCATCATGTATTATAAATTCATCTTCATCAATATTATTATTATTGTACTGGTGTTCTCATCAACTTCAACTTATTCTGCTTTAATTGAACAAGATATTAATTTTGCCTGTCAAAATGGAACAAGTTTAAGATGTTGCCCTCTCCTAGCACACCAAATTTCTTCACAACACCATTCACGTTGTGCAACAATTATTCTCGTAAATAAGACTGGCTATAAGATTACTTTAACCGTTTCCAGTCTCGAAGATGGTCGTTGGGTTACACAGTATGATTATGATGGCAACATCAACATAAATTGCATACCACATTCTCTTATAAATGGACAATCCGAGGCTATTTCTAGTGTTTCAAGTCATTTTCTCGGTGGAATAAAAGGTTATCTCTTCTTTGAGATTGGTGATGCTAATTCAAGCAATTTCCTTATCTCCTGGGATGTTCCAACAATCGGTTCCCCTGTATATTCCAGTGATGGACTTTCTGAAGAAAAGTATACCATTAAGTCCCAGAGAAGCCTTAACGATACAGTTTATTATGTTACAGTTGATTCAAAAACTCATTGGAATATGATAGTAGCTTTTTTCACATTCCTCATTTTACTGTGCTGTTGTTTCGGTTTTGTGAAATACAACTTATCTAGAGAGCAAAAATCTAATTCCTTCGGACAGCAAGGACAACAATCTTATAATCCCTTCATAGAGCAAGGACAACAATAAAAACATACTTCAGAAGCTGTTTAATGTTTCTTCAGAATGAAGAATTTTTGTATAGCTCTATTTTAATAAAAATATATAAAAACACATGATAAATTTCCCGCATCTTCTATTGGATCATTCACTAACGATTCAGTGATAACAAACCTAAATTTAGGATAGAAGAATATGTTCATTTCATGGATTCTGTTAATAATGATGTTAGTCCTCTTTCCCTCGTAAAAGCAATTTGAGTAATGAGAAATCTATCTTTTTGGGTAGGTTTCCTTTGTGCCTGATATCCTTTGGAAAAGATTCTTCGGGAAAATCCCTTTTACACAATCTGAGATGAAATATACTTTGATAATTTTGGAATTTCTTACATACAGTATCAAAAAAAACGGAATCTTTTCTAAATAATGATTGAATGAAAATAGATAAAAAGAAAGCCGAAAATCAGAAGTTTCTGTTGATATAAATTTTATACTTTTAGTTGCTTTTAATGAATATTAAGGTAACAATGTTAATTTTTGTCCATTTAAAAATTCAATAAATCAGCAAATTCATTACTATATTACTTACTGCGTCATGCTTTGATGATCACGTGCGTAACAATAATAGTAAACCCCATTTTAGAAATATTAATACAATGTATATACAACAAGCCAATGAAGAAATAGTGCATCAAAATCAGTTATTTTTACATTTATTCAAAATAAGAATAATTAAGATTTTCCAAATTAAATTGTATATAGAATTCATACCCATATATAAAAGTATTACATCATTTCTTAATTACATTGGTTTCTTTTGATGCATCTGCAAATGGATCAAGGAGACCTGAGCTAAACTTTTAATATTTGTAGATAAAACATTTCGTTGTTTATTCATTGATTGGTCAGATTAATAATCATATGACAACTATAAATAGGGAATTTTTATTATTAGTTAGTGTATAAATTTTGGTGTAATTAATGCACATTTTACACATTGAACTTTATACACTGCTACCAGTAATCTTAAATTATTATATTATTTAAAAAATTATCTTAGTGGATTAGGAAGTTAAGAATTTATGTGTTGTTGAAGTTGTTCTTCACTAGGAATGCTTCCATCACCTACCTTAATTAAACGTTAAAGTTGAAAAATAATAATAAATTTTTTTATGATTGTGTTACATCTACATATTTAATCAATCGTGTTATATATAAAAAATTGTAAAAATTCAATATTAATAAGAATGATTAAATAGCTCTTAAAATGTAAAATAACAAATCTATTCTCATTAAACAATTCTCTTCGGTTGGAAAAAGATATTTATTTATTTGATCATCAAAGAAAGAAAAAGAATAAAGAATCACGTAGATCTATTTCAGTAAAATAAAATAAAATATTTTTTGAAATTTACCACCCAACGAAAACAAAAAATTATTTCCCAAAAAATTAGGTTTGAAAAACATAGAATTTTGCTGGTTCATTGATCATGCCTCTCCTCACCTTGCAAAGCATTGCATGCAACGCTTGCAATTGAATCTATTAAGAAACGAAACATTTGCCGTACGACACAATTTTCGCCAAATATGGTGAAAACGTTGATCGCACCAAAAGCCGAAAAAACCAAGCGCGGCTAAACGCAAAAGGAGACAATCGGCGAGAAACCTGCACGAAGGTCGCTCACCTTACTGATTTTGGAAGGTGGTCGTGACACGGCAAATGTTTCGTTTCTTACTTGTGTTAAAAAAAAAATGAATTAATTCCAAATTGTTTTTTTAGTGGCGATGCTAATACTAAAAAAAATCAATAATGGATTAATTTCTTGCTGGTATTTTTAGTAGCAAGAGATGATCGTTTTCAAAAAAAGCTTAATTAATTTTCTTTAACAACACATTTTTGGAAAAGGCTCGATTTTAATCAAGTGATTTCTTTTTCATATTTTTTTTTACTTATTATAAATACAACCTCTAAACGTTTTAAAAAAAAATAGGAGAGTGATCATGCATGATCATGGTCATAATCATGATCTATGATCAAAAGATTTATCAATTTTGTGAAACGAAAATTTTCCTTTTCTTTCGAAAATTTCCAAAGAGAGATAGTATCGTTGCCAATTCTTTCTAAATATTACCAAAATATTGCCAATCTTTTCTAAATTGTTACAAAGTATGTTGCACTGATTTGGTTGAGTTGTATTCTTTCGTTAATTAATTCGTTAAATTCGTTAAATAAATTATTATTATTAATATATTATTACCATAATAACAATAACCATAATAGTAAACCCCGTTAATACATTTATATATATACAATAAGAATTATTATTAGTAATTGATATATTATTACTTACCACCCATTATACTTTGAATAACCATTGTTTAATTGATAGATCTGTTTTTTTTTGAAAAAAAAAAACAAATATTAATATGATGTTATATACAATAAGTTATTATTATCTACTACTATTAACTATGTTATGCTTCTCCGTTATCCATTTTCTTTTAGTTAATGAATAGATGAATGGAGTGAGCGAGTGAAATGAAATAAACCAACATTTCTAATTATATTACTCAAAGATCCATACATTGTTCATAAGTCAACTGTTATTAATTATACTATCTTTTTGATTAGCTCCTATTTTTTAACGATACTAGTTTCAAGATGTAAGTTTGAAATCTTCAAAAAAATATCGGACCAAAAAAATTTTCTATTAATGACATTAAATAATAATAAAATAATTTCCTTCGTAGTCTTTTATATAGTGATAATAATAATAAATAGTAATAATTAACATTTTTTTTAAGTCATAGTACTAGTAGCTATAGTAGTAGTAATATAGATTATAAATATAATTATTGTAATTTATATTAACTTGTTAAAGGAACAAGCCTTATTTATAAATTTACAAAGGTAAAATCCCTTAACAAATATTAATATTAATATAGAATTTGTTGCATCAAGCTGTGAATTGATATTTTATAAAACGAATAAAATGCGAATAAAACGAATAATTCGAATAAACGAATAAAACGAATAAAGCGAATAAAGCGAATAAAGCGAATGAAACGAATGAAACGAATGAAACGAATGAAACGAATGAAACGAATGAAACGAATAAAACGAATAAAACGAATAAAACGAATAATTGGAATAAAACGAATAAAACGAATAATTCGAATAAAATGAATAATTAATCATCTTTAAGTATGTTTTGTAAAAAATAAGTAGGAAATAAATATCTAAAATTTTTGGTTAATTGTCACAAAATTTTAAAGTTGATAATATTTTATTTTTTTAATAATAATAATACAAAATAAATTTAAATAATACATAAATTTCAAAATCAACTAAAATAGTAATGCTATAAAAATCAAAAGCATTGAACATGTAAGATAAAATAAATGGAATAATAAGCAAGTGGTTAAAGGATTCTATTTTTCGCCAAAGTGTGGATCACCACTCATTTGGAACGACCCATTAAAACCTATTGCTGTAAGTTCAAAATCACCAGAATCAGTCCAATTTATAGATTTGAATGCATTAGTTATAAGTCCATCAAGTGATGGTAGTTCCTTGGGAATCTCTTCGGCTATCCATTCGGGAATTTTCTCCAATACCGCAGCAACTGCAGCAGCAAGTCCTCCAACAATAGCAGAAATGACTAAACGAATAACGACACTTTTTGTTGCAGATATAGCATTAGCAATTCCAATAGCAACCACGGCCAGAATCACGTCGGCGAGACCTTCAACAATATCCACCCAAACAGCCACTTCATGCCAAGTATGTGTTACTGGATCTTTAGCCATCTCATATGTCATCTTTTGGGTACCATCCTCAGCTGTAACTAATTTTATGCGATAATAGCTAGTTGTTTCAGCATAGGCATCAATACCTGGAGAGATTGGGATGTGAATGAACATATACATTTCGATAGTGTCAACGTTTATAGTCATTGTATATTTTGTCATCGTTGGATAGTAATATAACCCAGCATGAAAAATTGAATTAAGTGCGATAGAGTCTTTGATTTCAACCTCCATTCCATTGTGAGTGGTTATAAAATTATCTGCCGGCGACTTTATAAATACGTTTTTCAAGTTGGGCATGATCATTTGCGTAATAAACAATTTCTTGGAAATACTTAGACAGGCTCGAGAACCTTTAGGAATAGCGCCAGCTTCAACTGATTGCACTGCATCGCTAGAGGAATTGCCATTTACCATAGAAAGAATTGCAAGAACAGAATCGTCCTCAGTTGCTCCATCAATATATGCATAGCTAGTGGTAGTTGGATGGAGCCATTGGAAGCCATCACCAGCAGCGGCTGTAATGTTGAGGTCTACGGTAGCAAAAACATGGCTGAACTGAATCAAGTTATCATTGAACCAGTTTTGTAAAAGGTTTTTTAACGCATTGTTAATGTCATTATTTTGGGGATCTACATTATCTTGTACTATTGATAGAACCACAACAACAGGATCGGTGGATGAAGTGGTGGTGGTTTTTACAACGAGTATATTATGATTCTCATTATCGTCGTGTGGAAGAAATTTGAGGTGCACTTCGATATAGGCTGTTGCACTTTCCACCGGGATAGTTGTGGAACTGGCGATAATAGTACAATTTTTAACAGGAACCTTCATCTTCAAAATGGTGCTAGAACCACCCAACGTTACTTGCCAGGCTCCAAAGGTTCCACTTCCACTGTAGGAAGGACTGAAGATCGAACCTTTTATTGTGGAATTCCAAGCTTGTGGGTATTTCTCGGGATGTTTTGTCATTCCATTTACGATTGCCTTGTTCACATCAGCTATGTGCACAGCAAAGACGGTGTCCCAGTTGTTTGTTTGAAACTCTTGCTCTTGTGTGGTTGCTGTTGCATTAAAACTAAAGGTTTTGTTAATTCCTGTTTTTTTAGAAGGTGGTGTGGTTTGAATTCTGAGAACATGTCCTTCGGGGATTTTTCCTAGAAGTTTTTCAGCAGTAGTCATTTTGATAAAAGGTGAGTAGTTTGGATGTTTCAAATTGGGAATTCTAGCGGACTATTTATATATACTTTCAAAAAGACGAACACAATCTTCATTGTAGAACTTGCAATGGAAATATTGATCATTAATGTATAAACTCCTATATATATTGTCGAAAATTCAGCCTACATATGTAAAAAATTGATGATAAAAAATCATCACATTATCAAGTTCCCCACGCTTAATATTGTAAAAGATTATTTTTGATATTCAAAGGATCTCCAAAAGTGGAAATTCACAATAGTAATACATATGTTTGTCACAACCCTGATTCCAATTGTTAATAAAATTAAATATGCATTATTAAATTTTAATTCCATTTTTGTACATTTCTCAGTTAACAATAATTTTGCATTTTTGAGAACGGCACGAACTCAAATGGTAATTTTCTTCAATGAAATTATCAGAAAACAAAAAAGACAAAAGCTGCATGATAAAAATCATCACATCATCCAAGTCTTTATGCTTAAGATGGTTTACAGTTGGCAAAAGACTTTTTTTGATGGTCGCATTTATTCTCTCCCAAAGTGGAAATACACAACGATAAAGGTTTTATTGCAACCTTAATTCTGATGACTCTGATTTTATTGCATTTTCAATCATTAATCAAAATAAATGTATTATTGTAATTTTACTTTGTATTTTTCTCAATTAAACAATAATTTTACATTTTTGAGAGCGCCACGAACTCAAATGGCAATTTTCGTCAATGAAACAAAAAGCTACATAATAAACAAACAATTGAATCTAGTCAACTGAATAAATTAATTTGAACAAAAATTTGATAAAAATCATCACGTCATCCAAATCTTTATGCTTAATATGGTTTACAGTTGGCAAAAGACTATTTTTGATGGTCGCATTTATTCTCTCCCAAAGTGGAAATACACAATGATAAAGGTTTTATTGCAACCTTAATTCTGATGACTCTGCTTTTATTGTATTTTCAATCGTTAATAAAAATAAATGTATTATTGTAATTTTACTTTTGTGCATTTTTCTCAATCAAACAATAATTTTACGTTTTTGAGAGCGCCACAAACTCAAATGGTAATTTTTCGTCAATGAAATTGTCGCTTACATGTTAGAAAACGAAAAAGAAAAAAGCCAGATAATATAAATAAATGTATTATTGTAATCCATTATTAAAATTTCTTTTAATTCCACTTTTGTACGTTTCTGAATAAACAATAATTTTACATT